CCTTTAAAGCAAATCACTGGAGCGGTGCCTGGATCTGTGCGCGTGCCTGGATGGTGCCTGGAAATTTTTGAAGCTCTGCAATTGGGCTCCCCTGGCCATTTGCACAGTCTGCAGATTGCAGCATTGTTCAGATTAAGTTTAAAAGAAAAACAAAAATGCAAGGCAACAGAAATACACAAAAGAAGCCTTGCAACTTTACGTTATGTTCTCTCTGTGTTTCGCAAATGCACTGCATCACATACATAGGCAAAACCGGATGCTTCTAGCCTACTTAATTAATATTGCATTAAGGCTTCGATAAGTGGCTCAATTATTACTTTGTGTTAATAAAAGATGACCAATCAGGCGAGATCCATATTATCTTTCCGGTGAATCAGACCAGTTGCCTATGCAGTCCCGTGGCTGCTTCTTCAACTCTGATCAGTGTGTGTGTAGCTTCCATGAGAGAGAAAGCGAGCAAGCGAGAGAGAGGCAGCGCCTGCTTCCCTCACCCATGCCCGAGCGGTGGCGCACAGGTTTAAATGAAAATCATCGCAAAGGGAAAGAGAGAGAGAGAGAGAGAGAGAGGGACGAGAGGAGAGAGAGAGAGAGGCACACAAAACTCACCTTTTACAGCCAAGTGTATTTTTGAGCTCATAATTGATCCGTGTTGGTTGAAAACAACACATTCGTAATGCGCGTCGTCGGAGGAATTAACGCTCTCGAAGTAGAGTGGATGGTGGGCTGGAGTGGAAAGCAGGAAGATAGAGATGTTTGCAGCTGATAAAAAGCCTCCGATATGTGTGGGTGTGGGTGTTCTAATTCATAAGTCCCAAATGTACAACTTCGTTTTGTTTTGTTTATTTATTTATTTATCTTATTGATCTAAAAGAGGTGCGTAATGTTGAGATTTTTTTTCAGGTCTTTAAAAGGAAAAAGGAGGACGCTACTACCACTATGCACACTGGATTTCTTTTTCTTTTTCTTTTTTTTTTCTTCATTTTCACTATTTTGTTGCGTTTTGAGTGGAGGGTTGAGGCGAGGGGAGGAGGAGACACGCGGGGTGGCGGGCGGGGATGGAAGAGGTTGGGATAGGAAAAATGGTGAAAATAAAGAAAAAAAAACACAAATGTGACATATGCTTTGAGAGGCGAAATTCTTGGCCAAAAAAGGCGGTTATTTGGGGAGGGGGGGGACGACAATGGTTTGAAAAATTTGTGCAATTAATAATGTTTAAAATTTTTCAAGATCTGGGGAGGAGGGGGAGGGGAGGGGGACGACGAGGGGAGAAAAATTTACAAAAACGAGCCTCCCATGTTAATGCAATTGGCGCCAGGTCAATTTTTAGCATGCATTACCACCCACAAATTGAGTAGTAAATGAGATTGCCTTCAGATGTAGGACTTTTGTTGGCTTTTTTTAACAAAATATTAAATAACAATAACGAAAACAAAAAAAAACACCTCGGAGGTAAACCAAATTTGCCCCACACGTATTGAGTCTGTGACTGTGGTCACAAGGGTAGGGAAAAGGGACGGCCAATACGTCCCCCCATGACAATGCGGTCAGCGGAGCAGCAGACAAGTTGAGTCGAAATTGTGGATAAAAATGGGCTCCTCGAAGTCACAAATTGCAGTGTGGCTAGGCAAAGTGAGACGTTGAAAATCGGTTGTGGTTGTGGTCTCGTCAAGGTTTGAGCAAAGCAAACTTAACTGTACTTCACCACAACGGAAGTGTTGGACAACACACAAACACACAAAATCCACTTTCATGCTCTTGAGGAAGGTCATTAACGATAGAAGGGTCACAGTTTATGAAGAGATTTTGACTTAGATTAAACCCATTTCTCTCCATTACACCTTCCACTCGGAGACACACAGGTTTGTTAGCACAATTTCACGTCTCTGATCCTTTTTTTTTGTCGGACAAACGGAATTCAGATCCACGTGTGGCCCCATCGAGGGAACCAGGGACTAAATGCCGATGAGCTACCGAGGACAGCACTCAATTTCGTCCATAAAATGGGGAGAGAAGTTGAGACAAACTCTCGAGTTGTCACTTCAGTTTGGCTGAACCGGTCTGATTGTTGTCCAGACATGCCAACAGTCTCACGCCTCTACAATATCTCCACTTCAAAACTAAATTTCACCTCTAATTGCTACACCTCATAATTACGCTTAAAAAGTAGCATTAACTTTTACTTCTCCTTTGTTCTTTTTTTTTCGCAATTAAAAATAATTTGACAATTTTACGAGGAGGATTTGAAGGAAGTCAGCCACCACAGACCGATCAAACTCCTTGCAACACACAACTACTCACTTTTTTTTTAACTGTGTCACCTGACCAAGTGTAATTACGATTGTCAAATTCAAGTAATTTGTCTCCTTCTTTTTTGAAATCTATTTTGAAATGGAGATGACACTTCTCATTCCGCATTTTGAGAGAGAGAGAGAGAGAGAGAGAGGGAGAGAAGGTAAACACCTAACTGATGGTGTAACAGCCAAGAAAAAGAACATAAATACGCATTTACTTTGCTTAATACTTTTTTCCCCCAAAATTTTCTATGACAGTTACTTCAATTTTTGGCATCGATTTCCTTTTTTATAATTTGCGCTCCTCTCAAAACCCGCTCTGCTGAGCTATTTTAAACAAAAAGCGCGCGGTGGATGAATTTTGGCTTGAAAAAGTCTACAAAAAAGTGGCTTTAAGGGTGCAACTGTAAGGGCAATAAGGCGTGCTCTTTAGCCAAAAAAAGAGCGACTGGAGATCCAAATTTGTAAGTACAAAGGTGCTCATAAAATTGCGCCTACTTTATTCGTAGTGGTCAGCATTAAATAATAAAAATTAGAATAATTACCTATATTTGGTGCATCCAATGAAGCATCGTAGTCGTACTTGGTTGAGTAGTCGAAAGACGGTGTTTTTTGTTGTATCTGGACGGGAATTTCATTCTTGAGCCAGAGAAATTTAAGTTCTGGTGTGCCCTCGGCCTCACAGTCTAAATGAGCACTTTTGCCCACATCAATAGCCTGTGACTTTGGGGAGCGAACAAATCGCGGAAAACCTGCAGGAACACCTGAATATGCATAATAAAAAGAGTCAGAAGGATGGCTAACATGGGCGTCTGGAGAGTCATTGGACTGTTCACTTGTGGCACTTTATACCAACAACTCAATTGCTCATTAGTTATGTGGGTCGAACTGCAGGTCCAATGAGAAAGAAAAAACAGGCGAATTGTAATCAAGAGTTGTCCACTATAAAATTAATCCCCACATTTGTTTAAGGCAACAAGCGATGAATACTAGTTGATGAACCTTGGCTTTATAAGCATAATTTTATATACTCAGCTTCTTAGTGCATTTGCTTTAGAAAATGTTTTCGACGCTAAAACATACTGCTGATTAGTGGATGTTAAAGTGCACTTATCTGCTGAAATCTAAATTAGGCTTGCACGTCTACTTAAATGGTCTTTTAAGTAGCATGCTTGAAATCAAAGTGAAGGTATACACCAAAAGAGCACTTTAGAGCATTAAAAAAGGGATAAATTACAGTTCCAGGTGGCCAAATTTTGTTTTATGATGGTCTACTTACTGTCAGAATACTTGTAAACTTTTAATTGGGCTGAGGACTTATCACTGCCAACGGGGTTGCTAGCAATGCACTCCACTTTGATGCCATTCTGCTTGGCGGAGACTTTAAACAATCGCAAAAGACTGCCTCCACCCCCAGGAAGAGGGATTATTTTGCCCGTCTCACTGGACAACCGTCCAGACTGACCATCAAGGAGGAAGTCGATGGTGGGTTCGGGGTTGCCTTCAACACCGCAAAAGAAGAGTGCATCCTCACCCTCCATTACAGCCACATTTTTTGGCGCCTGAACTATTTGAGCTTGACCTAAAAGTAAAACCAATTAAAAATTTGATCCTCGCGTACGTTAAAATTCAATTAGCCCTGTCAGAAGTCAACAAAGACCAGATAGGCGGGGATTAAAACCTTTTTAAAAATTAAACTCCATCCACAAATCCAAGAGACTTGCTCTTTCAACCCCGTTGCCGTTCGTATTTCTGCCTTTGGTTGGAAAATTTGAATTTTGGACTAATTAGATCCTCCTGTGTAGGTTTTTAGCTGATATATTTTTATATGAGAAAATTAATTAACTCGGTGGCTTTCTTGACTCCCTGCCAAGGCATTCACGTAGGGGAATTTTGCAAAGCCTCCAAACCACCGTTACCTTGATGGCAATTTGACCTGCTGATGACCTGTTGGAAATTAATTTGCCCTTCTCATGGCAATTTTTTACTACTCTACACGACGCATTGGTGAGGGGACCACCCGAAGGTACCCGTTCCGCCATCCAGCAGCGATAACACTCACACACACGCACCAACCTTTTCAAACCCCCTCGTAAATGGCGTATCTGTGCTTCTAATTCCACTTTTTTTTCTCTTTCTCTCTCTTTCTTTTTATTCATAGGTGGTAAACATAAAAGACTTGATTAGTTATTAATAAATAAGTTATAGCACCCTTAGGGCACAAAACACGAATTTGGAACACTACCACAGGTCTCGTATTCACACACAAGTCATTCGGCCAAAAGTTTAGCTGATGAAATTGCCTCACTTTATTCCACTTTTTAAGATTATTATGCCCAAATTTTGCCATTTTTACTTTCCATTTGGACACTTATTTAACCCATCAAATGACTTTTTTGGATTAGTAGTAGTGCAAACAAAATTTCCTTCATTTTTTAAGCAGTTAAGGAGAAAAATTTTAGTACTTAATGACCTGTTGTAAATATCCGATTAACAGGAAATCTATTTTTATGTCTTTTTTCTCATTCAAACCTCCTCCCTACATGGCACCGTCGTCGGCCCCGCCAAGTGCCTTGAGTAATCGGAAGTGGGAAAAATCATCATAAATATGGCGGTTTAGAGGGCTTGTGCACTCATTGCGCATTCATTTTGCTGCCACCGGATTGTTCACGGTTGGTTTTAAACGCTATCCTTTTAAAATGTTTAATTTTGCACCTACTACTTATGAGAAAAGTAGTATATGTCAAAAATGATAAAAATTTTGATTTTGTTGGTAAATTTGATGGCTAACATGTCAAACTGTCTTCCATTTTAATCTTTAGCACAGAAACTGTACTTAAAATGCATGCCGAAATCACAAGAGAGTATTTTAAGTTGCGACAAAGTCAATCAACTTGTGCTGGTGTGTAACACGTACAATAAAATAAACTATTTAATTAATAATGCGTTGATAGGCCCAACTTTTAGTGCAAAAAAAGAGGTGTCTCTTTTCTCACCCGAAGAATTATACCTTTACTAAAGTAAACCGGCATATCCTTTTAAAGGGAACACGCAATGCCAAAAGGTAAAGGAGAAACGAGGGTGAGAAAATGAAGTGAAAAGTCTATTGCCGTGTATAAGTCAGACCAACCAGAGGATTCTCCCTATCGCTCTCTCTCTCTCTCTCTCTCTTTCCCTCCCTCTCTAGGAGGGATGGAAAGGGGTTGGGGGAGGGGCGCGAGGGGTGATAGTGGGGAGGAGAGGAAGAAAAAGACTTAAAAGTTTGCGAAATTAGGGGTAATGAGTATTTGACACTTTAATGGAAGGGAGCGCACACACTTAAGCACCTGGACTAAAAATTAATGTCAGCCGGTTGGAGGAATTGGAGTATAACAAGACTGGGGCGTGTGTGAAACCCACGCACGCACACACACACACAAACAAACAAACAACACACACACAGTTAGTGTGTGAAAATTAACCCTCATACTTATTTACAAACAGACTAGTAGCATGTAAAATATTTGCATAAAATTGAACTTGTCAAGGCAGTGTATTGAAATGCATCGCTTAATCCATTTCGTTTTTAATAAAAACGGTTCACTTTTTTAGGAAAAGCGCTTTTCATTTGTTTTTTAAACTGCACGTTGCTCACAAAAAAAAGGTGAAAATTGAGACCGAGAGGGAAGACAGACACACAAAATGGGTGCTGATACACCGGCGCATTGCAGTGAAGTTGATTGCAAGAGGACAATTTCCACCAAAACGGCTTAAAGGGGTGCAGAAATTCAAGTACTTTTTAACAGAAACAAAAGTATTTTCCTATTTTTTTACAATACGAAATCCCACTGACAAGAACCGAATGTAGTTAGCTGCTTTTTACGCGGTTTTATCTTGCATCAAATTTTTTCCCCCAAATTCGGTCATTTATTGTTGTTGTAAGTCAAATTCGTCGCTTAAGAAGGCATTGAGTGCATTTTTTAAATGAAACTCGATGATAGCTAACAATTGCTCAAAGAAATTGGCCAAAAATTCTTTAACGAATCAGATTTTATGTATTTAAAGATTAGGCAAAATAAGTTACTTGCAATACTCACTGGTGTTGTTGAGATAGGATTTGAGCACTTCCAAATTAAACCATTGGCTGCTGACACGATTAGTAAAACATCCGAGTTGAATAATCAAGCTTATGGTGATAATAAGTGGACTCATATCATGACTATGTGGTAATGCAAGCACCTAATATTTGCAAGAGTCCGGTTTTGAAAAGCAGAACCTAGCACGGACTTGTTTGCTCACAGCTTCCAATTACGTGGATGGTCAGTCAAACCCACCAATCAGATCAATCCACCAATCACAGCTAAACAAACCCGTCATATACTACTTAATTGGGAGTCCATAAAATGGAACCTTTAAATAAATCATGCGTAAGTGGTTGAAGTAGATTTAGCAGTGGTATCTCAATCCCCGACAAGCCAACTTAGCGGGAGAACACAAGTGACGGACCAATTATTTTAACCCAATTCAAATTTCGCTTTGAAATTAAGGTGAGTAAATTTAAGCTTTGGATTCCGCAAGATATAATTACAGTTTATAATTACGTTACAAAGGCACATTTACTAACACATGACAATGCTAATTTGTAGATTGAGCCTATTTTGCGTTTATCTAAAGTTAAAATCCTGAGCTTAAATTCTTGGCCTCGTATGCTAACATGTCTTTAGTCTATCAAAAATTCGCAACAGCTTTAATTGTATGCAAAACAAATTCGATGTCGTTGTTAACGTGCTTCTCTTTCCAAATGCTAAGGGCAAATTGCAAATTTCACCTCAATCAGTTAAGGCGTGAGAAAAGCTGAATTATGCAATGCACTCGACCACTCTGCAGAATGCCGCAAATGTCGTGAGAAACGTCAATGCAGTACATACTTCCGTTCCCGAATCAAAAAGGGCGACCTAAAGAAAGGTTGAATAAAATAATGCCTTTCCTTTTGACATGTTTAAATAAAAAACGTTTACTTAAATGAATTAAGTAAAGTCTTTTAAATAAATTAGCTAATAACTTCAAGGATTCCAAAATATTAGGTGCCTCGAGAATAACCAAAAAAATCAAACCCCTAATCTTTGCTAACATATGCATAACGGGATATCAGGGAGAACAAGTTGAAAGAAAGGTCGACGTAATCCTTCTTTGCATTAGCAAGCTTCACAGCAAAAGCTTTATGCGTATACGTAACTGCAATTCCTTAGAATGTTTTTTTCAGATGCATAAGATGGCACTATACTCATTTCGCCCCATAGAGCAACTGTTTGCACTTGGTATTTTAAACATCCAAAGAGTGGAGCCAATCATTAAGCTAAGTGGATATTCAGACGCCGGAGGTGCCATTTGCGGTAAGTTGCATACTTAAACAAGGTCTTCCCTGACGCACATTTATAGATTTTGCTCTTATAGCGAAATCCAGTGTTTAACTCGTCTATCTAGTTGTAGCAGACGATTTTGCAGATCATTCGAGCATTTAAAATTGCTCTCTTTTACACATGACCACATACTTCCCGTACATTATTCATCGCTCCCAAAAAACTTCATACCTTCGTTTTGTGTGATAACCTTTTTTGCTTCCCAGGAGATGCTCTTTTTTATCTTACCCATTTTCATGGGGACTTGCAATCACTGCCTCTACGATTTAAATTAAATTGCACGATTAAATAACGCGTTGTAAGATGGTCTCCCGTCTCAAACTAGGATCCAGCCACTAATATAAACGCTCGTTCAATAGTTTAACAGTTAGCTGTGTTTAATTAAACAAATAAAGTTAGGCAGTGCATCTAGAACTTGTTGTTCACGAAAAAAATGAAAACCGAAAATTGGTAACAGAAAGTGCACGGTCCAGTGAGCTACGTAAGGGCATATGGAGACCGGAAATTTTCTTCGTTTTAAGATTTGCTTCTCAGTTAAACCAAAAAGGTTGATTAAATTCCTGAACTAAATGGGCTACTGGCCTAGTAACTGGTTCCAGTGTGAGCGAAGATGCTGAGGTTGGGATCTTCGGAGGAATCACAATGTGCATATAAAATAATCATTGCTACGCATGTTCTAAAGCTTCGCGTGGAATCGAATTTACATTATATTCATATTTTGAAGTATAAATATGAAATTAGTGGTGCATTCATTAAATCAAATGTAAAATTGATCTTAAAATTATGTTTAGACATTTGAGTTTCCTCAAATAATTGGGTTTTTGAATACGTAGCCATTTTATGAAATCTAAATATGCTGCTGCAAATAAAAAACTTGAAAAAATTAAACCTAATTCTTTGGCTAAGACGAGAAGTAAACCCTGTTTAAACTAAAACAGAAATTTCCCTCAGCATATGTTATTTTCCTCCAAGCGTTTATAAGGAGTAAAGCCCAAAAAATGTGCCAGTTTATCAAGGATTACATATTCGGCTGATCTACCATCTAGATTTGTAAGCCTTAATGCAATGCTTTTAGCAAATTCGTTACTTCTTCCAACCGTCCTCTACCAGGAGAGTTTGGACAGTTGAGCGACGGTTTTGGTGAGGACTACCAATGCACAATTCATTAATTATTGTTGGCAAATTTTAGCAAAAGCAAATACAACAATATCAATTATTGCTTTGCAAAAATCTTGAACATAGCTAAGTCTTCATTATTTTAATAAATACATCTAGCAGATAAACGTGAGTATGCAAAATAATACGTCAAAAACTAAGAATTTCTATTTATCACATCCATTAAGTTTGAACAAAAATGTATTATCAGTGTAAATACGAAGCATTTTTCCAATAAAAATTGAAAGTTTTAACAGTATTTGCGGTGTTATTATAATGAACTGTTAAAATTCAGCGAACGAATTTGGCAGCCTAATTTTTGAAATAACGTGTAGTCACAATATGCATGGCAATCAAGGTCAAATTACGTCAACATCGCTTAAGTAAACGCGGCCCTTGAGAATCCTTTTTGGCACCAATCGAATACTATAAATGCGAATTTCACATTGTCTTATGTTTATCCTTTTGATAGCAATAACGTGACCATA